ATATAAGATGATTCTTTTTCTCAAATTTTCTAACTTGCACCTAAGAAACCAAGATCGAAAAGTAACAAAAATCGCTCAATTAGATCTTGTGCCAAGTTTTTAGTTCTACTCTCACAAAACAATATTATTATTTTTTATATATTAAAGGATTTCTCACACAATTAAATAAAAACAACTAATATGAAAAGGTGATAAATAATGAGTAAAATTAGCTCCCTTTAAAAGAACGCCAACATCTGTTCGATCTAATTTTCAAATTTGAAGTTTCTCAATGTAGCATTTATAAAACATGACAGTGTAGTTTTCATGTTGTATTTTTTGACAAAACAAAATTTGAAAGTTTGAGTGTAATCCAATATTGGAATCTTACACAAGTGGATGTAATTTACATAAGTTAGCACCTTAAAAACGTAGAAGGAGAGTCTTGGCGTAACTGATAAAGTTGTTGTCATGTGACCAGGAGGTTACGGGTTCAAGTCGTGGAAACATGCTCTTGCAGAAATGCGGGATAAAGCTACGTACAATAGATCGTTGTGGTCCGGCCTTTTCTCGGACCTTGCGCATAGCGGGAGCTTCATGCACTGGGCTGCCCTTTTAGCACCTTAAAATTGTACGTTACAATGTGAAAATAAATTACTCCATAGTACATATTTCTATTTTTACCATATGAATATTAAAACTACTCCATTCGAGAATTCGAACTGAAATAATGTTAAACAATCCATGTTAACTTGTAATACGATGATTAGTTTAACTTATTCTCAATTTTACCGTTGCTAGGGTTTTTTTACAATAATTATATTGTTATAACAAATTTTAAAAAAAAAAACCACATTTGATTTAGTGAAGAACCACAAGTTCCAATAATTATGTAATCCTAACCAAAATTAATTTAATTACTCCCAAATTGACCGTTTGAAGTATCTAATAATTTTCTAATCATCTAAATTTTTGAATATAAACAAACTTAAAAAGTCAATGTTGGTGTTAAGAGAAAGTACAAATGATTAGTTAGAAATAAAGGACTGCTTTGTCCTATGTATTGGACATTATAATTTGTTTTTGTTTTGCAATTCCAAAATAATTTCAAAATCTTTACCTAACATTGGAAGTTTTCTATTTAAACTCTAGCACATATTTTGATATGCTACTTTTCACATTACAACATTTATAAATTACCAAAGTCAGCTTTAATTAAAAGGTACTACTTCTTTGTTTTTTTTATATATTTGAAAATAATATTTTTTAAGTGAATTATTTCAGTATGTTTAGTTATTTGTGACTTAGACCCTTAAAGTTTTGAAAAGTTTCAAACAATGATGAAACAATTTCGCCCTAATGCACATAATTATTAGTACAAATCCAAAAGTGATGAAAAAACAAAGATTATATCTTTAAATATAATGCTTAAAATTAGCTGAATTAAGGAAGCTTTATTCTTTACTCACCATTTGTGAGAGAATAAATACCAGCCTGATATGCATATTAGTCCATAATATGTAGCATAAAATTAGGATTCCCAAAAGGGTAAAATAAAATTCGTAAATTCAAAAATAGGTTCACTTTCTTTTATTTTTATTATGAAAAATAAAAGTAGTTTCAGTTCGACTTTGAACATATTCGATAAGTCCAAATCCAAACCCATCAACAAACAGTTGGTAGATGGCCCGTTTAGAAAATAGGGAGCGACTTTCTTATGGTAGTAATTTTACAAAAAGATTTCCCTGAATTTTTGTGGCATCCAGATTCGGATATCCTGGCACGACGAAGACTGACCCATTTGTTTTGGGGTACCGCCGTTGTCACGGAGCATGGGAAGGACACGCGACGACAACTCCTTTCAGTCGTCCTCTACATCGTTATTTTTTTTATAAATATCTATTTATCTTGTCATTTATTATTTTTTGGCCTTTATTAATTTATATACTCGTTATCATCCCGCCACTCCTATCAATGCTTACTCACAACTAAACAAAGAAAAAAAGATTTTTACCTAGCTATACCATAATAGAAACCTATTTACCACCTTTATTTAGGTTCCTTATTAATTACTTTGTATATCTTTATTTACAAGTTATATACTCATAAAAAAGAAAAAAAATTCAAGATCCCCCTACCCCACATATAAGATTCTGTTCTTTTTTCTCACTTTCTTAATAATTGCCTAAAATTTCTCTTTTATTTTTATAATCCCCCCCTCCCCCAACCCCAGCCTCAACCCCCCACCCAAATTTTTGATTCTTTTTTTTTTTTTTCCAAC